AATTCAAAACGCATGATGATGACGACGATGAATATTCCCAAGGTCACCGATACGGCGTCAGACTCTAATGCACCTACGGGCAGTTGCCTTATTGTTACAAGAGCTTACAGTTCATTACGCAGTAACGTGCTTGATGACCTGTTTTGAACGGAGGAAGGATTTTACGCATCTGTTCCACATATAGTGAGCAGATACCCGATTCTGCTTTATCGCTTCAGAGCTTTCAATCTAATAATGAAAATTCTCATTACCACCTCTTGAAATGATAGAGAAAACTAGTGTTTACCTCAACTACGTCCCAATTAACTTTGACAAAGTCGTCACGATCGTAACGCGAGTGGGTATGTATGAATCCCAGAAGATGACCAATTTCGTGCGCAGCAATAAGTCTCCTACCGCATCCGTTTCCCAACGATAGCACCTGTACGCCGCCCTGTCTGCCGACTTCTGAATAACATCCCGACTGCTCAGACACTTTCGCTCGGTCTTTAGCTGAAAAGTAAGGTCTCTATTAAAAAATTCAAATAATTCAAATACTAAATAATGTGCAATACAACACAGAACATGAGATGTTCTCTATCCGTTCATTATTCGATGTCTCCTTCGTTGTAGATGATTCAGTTTTATATTTTCCAAACATTCTGCTTTACATTGAAGCAGTATTCATTCAACTCTCTTGTTCGTATTCTTTTTTCGAAGCCGACTATGGTAACCCTATTTGGTGAACATTCGGTTAATTCTCACCCGAAGGATTTTCTGTGAAATTGATGCAGGTGTGACTTTCCCATTGTTTAGCTGCGTCTTTGAATGCAGTCTTGGTTTGAGCAGCTGAAATGATTTGCATATTGTATTTTACTGGAGTTTCAGCTAATCACGATGACACCAATGCTTACAGACAGAATCGTCGAAGAAATAGTTTACTCCATCCACCCAAAGAACTTGTGGCCAAGCCTTCCAATTCATGGCCTGACGTTTCAAACGATGCCCGTCAACGCTTTCCCCACTTTTTGTACCGCTAGCGATCTGTTCCGCATGCTCACTTCAATGATGGCATTAGAGAAAACAATAACTTGAATTGTGAATTTCTCACGTACCGGGATAACACAATATCGCCTTGGTAGGGTAGATGATGAACGTTATTGTTTTTATTCACTTCAACAACGGAAAGCCCGGAAAGATCTTCCCCATTGATGAGAGCAGGTAACAATATGGCGAGTAAGATAGGCTTCATACTGCAATATTTTTGATGAAAAGCAATTGGAAGCCGATGCAATAAGCGTGAACGACATACTTTCATTTGTAAAAAATTATCTGTAAAGGTGCAAGAAGCGGCCGTCAAGAGGACAAAGGTTTACAGTTCGAGTTTGGGAAAATTTGAGAGATGATTGGCAAGTGGGAAACGTATGAATGGAGTAGCGGGCAGGACTTCTTGTTGAAACATAGGCTGCTCCGCAGATATGGTATGATAACGGGATAATAGGTATTTGTTGCACAGAGATCACTGTCAAATCCGACATATGAATTTATTCAGATGTTTCCTTTGCATCGAAGAGCATAATATTCACAGGTTCATTAGATTCTATAGTGCCCTTGGCACGAATGAGAGCCCGTGGGAACTCCGACTACGCTTTGCCGTTGGCACTTGCATGACAAGTTTTTGCACACGAAATCTTAACTCGGAATAAGTATGCACGGCACGGCACGAGCCTGCAAGAAAAAGGAAATCTCAAGGGGAATCACATCATTCTTCCTAATCGGCGACAATTTGCGTGAAGTCTGGAGAAAAGCGCTAATTTCCTCTCAAGCAACGCTTCGTGGAAAGAAAACACAGAGCCCTGTATGGACTTTCAGCATGAGGGGAGGGAGCTATACTAATAATTTGGATTGCTACAGTGCGTGATACACCGGCAGCTAGTCCTCAAAAATGTTAGGGATCACCCAGATATCGACACTTATGGAAGAAACGCTGTGTGCAAAGGAAGGGAGAGCGTGGTATCCTTTAGGGAAGAACACCAGTTTTATCAGAACTGTCTGGCCTGTCATGGGTACAACAAGCGGATGACAGCATGCCATGGTACGGAAAGATAGCGCTTTTATAGCGGTAAGCCTCTGTTTCGTCATGTTCTCTTGCCTGAATAAATATTAACACAAGGTATGTTTGAAAACTGTAGAACAGTGATAAAAATGTCGTCATACGGATTGTGCGAAGGTTATGGTAACAAGGCAGGCCGCTGTCTCATTTTGAATGGGAAAGAACCAGGAATGGGACAAACTGATTTTACGGAAAAATAAATAAGGCGCCCACCAACCATCGCTCTCTTAATGACTTTATGCCGACGGTTTCGCTCTCGTCTTTGGCTGTTGCTCCCTTGGCTCTTCGTCCGCGCCGTGGGAGCAAAAAGAGGTGGAAGAACACCGCTTGGGGCTCATGAAAAACCTATTCCACAGTCCACCGCAATCAGTCAAATACACGTTAATTGATGTCACAATTGGGCGATAGGGCGCACGTCGTTGTGCAACCGATTCACCAATGAATCACAAATTGTTCAGGGGTTTATTCATCCGAACACAAACAAGGCGGTCATAATCAGAAGCCCTTTTCCGAGGATGTTGTGGCGGAAACTCCACTTCACCAGATAACTGAGAATCCGAACTGACATCTGCCTCCAGAAAACGGTAGCTCCACAAATCGCAAGGCGCTTCAACAGCAGCTGTTTTGTCGTCTCTTATCAGTAGATTGACTACTGAGCTCAACAATCTGTGTCACAAGTATATTCCGCAATCATCTAAATGTCGTCGTGGAATGAGAGCTTCCATTTTCCTTCACGAGCCGAAGGTGAACAAGAAGTGGAGGCTACCACTCATGACAAATTGATGGCCATTAAATCACCGTTGGACTTATTACTAAAATTAGTGAGGATCTCCGAAAAATCAATATCAAAGTGAATCGAATAATTATGTACTTAATTTTTGATTGTTGACTGCTGTTTTCGGCTGCACCTGCGAATGTTGCACAAAAATGCCTCACCAGGTTTTTGATTATTGAGAAATAGACAGAATTCACCAAGGAGGTGGCTTCACTTTTCCCCATTTTATGACTCTCAGAGCCTTTGATATTCTGACACCGATGAATTAATGCAATAATAGCATCAAAAGCTGAAGTAGTTCCTCAACAGGGCGTCATGATTTGCCATCTTTGGAGCAGAGCTGTGAGGCCACACCAGGGGCAAGCGAACCGTCGAGTAAAATTTGGAAAAACGACCCCCCTCTCCCCCAGAGGCCAAAATCCCTGAAACGACCCACTTCACAAGCCAAACTATGGGAAGGTTGTTTAACTCTCCACCAAAAATGTCCATAAACAAAAACCCCTACTACCCCACCCATCCCTTACCAAAAATGCTAGAAGTGCAAAAGTGCAAAAGTCAAAGAACTGTCATTATTGATCGATTTTTGCTCGAGCGGGCGCCAGCAACGTCTCCATTCGTCCCTGTCGCGTGCTAGAGTGGTCCAGTGGATCCTCCTTGCTCGAGGGACACGAAGTCCGTTCATTCCTTTCGTTCAGAGCTTTCGTGAAGAAGTCTGACCATCGGGCCGGCGGTCGTCCAGGTGTTCGTTTGACGTCCCGAGGGATCCAGTCGGTAACCGCTCTGGTCCAACGGTCATCGCAAAATCGCATGACGTGTCCGGCCCACCTTATCTTCGATTCCTTGGCGAAAACGGCAGCGTCCCTGATCTTCGATCGTTGGCGTAGTTCGAACTCCGGATTCCCCTCTGCACTTGCGTGTATAGGGTTACTCCTAGCATCGTCCTCTCGACAGCGCGTTTGGATAACGCTGACCGCATGCTCGTCCTGCCTGCGCAGAGTCCAAGTCTCTGAGGCGTAGGTTAGGGCAGGAAGGACAGCGGAATCGAAGAGGTGGGCACGGAGCCGGATGTTCTTCGTCTTCTTCACTACTCCCTCGATGTTCTTGAATGCTCCCGACAATCTTCGTCGCCTACGCATCAACATCCATCCACGACGATGAAGAACACGAAGCATTTTATATGGAATTGGAGAAGTTCTACAGGGAAGATCATACCTTCTTCAAGGTCATCGTCGGCGACTTCAACGCTAAGATTGGCCCAAGAAGAACGGCTGAAGAACTTCACATCGGTACTCACGGAATGGAATGGAATGAGCAGGGTGAGAGACTGTCGGAGTTTATCATGTCGACCAACACCATCCATGGTAACTCACAGTTCCAAAAGCCCCCTCACCTTCGTTGGACTTGGGAGTCACCTGATGGACAGTTCCATAACGAGATAGACCACATCATCTTCAATCGAAGGTTTTGCCTGACCGACGTCGCTGTTGTTCCAAAGTTCTACACGGGATCGGACCATCGTCTCCTCCGCGCAAGATTCCACTTCTCGATGCGTGTTGAGAGAGCAGCAAAGTTCAGGAAGCGAAGCCCCAGGACAGTCATCAACTGGGACCACTTCGCTTCCCTCGTCAGCTTATGGGAGGATTCCGTCATCGAAAACATCGACGAGGAGTACTATCGGCTCGTTGAACATCTTCACGATTGTGGCAAGAAGGCAGAGAGTTTGAAAGTCACCAAGGGACGTCTGTCTCCGGAAACTCTCGAACTGATACGCCAGCGTGGAGCCGCACGAGCTGCAGGCAATCACCAACTCACGTCCGAGCTTGCGAAGCTATGCAGAGAGGCGATAAAGGAAGATCTCAAGGAGCGAAGAGCAGCAGTATTAGCTGAAGCAGCAGAGGCTGGGAGGAGCATCCGCAATGCCCGCCGAAGCTTTGCCAGCTACAAGACCAAGATGACCTGCCTCCGACGTCCGGATGGAACAGTTACTGCATCCCGAAGGGCAATGGAGAAAGTCATCCACGACTTCTACTCGGATCTCTTCGATAGCCATGTCCATCTGCCTACTTATCAACCGCAAGAGGATGGATACGTTGTCCCCTCAGTTCTCTCTTCCGAAGTCCGACACGCCATCAAGTCGGTGAAGAATTGTACAGCGCCCGGTCTCGACAGGGTTAAACCGGAACATCTGAAGAACGCACCGCCAGTTATCATCAGAACTCTGGCTCGACTCTTCACGCGCTACCTGTCGGAATGCAAGGTACCCACTCCGTGGAAAACCAGCAGGACCGTGTTGCTGTACAAGAAGGGAGACCTGGACGACATTGGCAACTATCGCCCAATCTGCCTGCTGTCTGTAATCTACAAGCTATTCACTCGAGTCATCCTTAACAGGATCGGCAGAATACTAGATGAAGGACAGCCATGCGAGCAAGCAGGGTTCCGAAGAGGTTCAGCACGATCGACCATATCCACACGGTTACAAGACTCATTGAAGTTTCACGAGAGTACAAGATGCCGCTTTGTCTCACGTTCATCGCTTTGGCGGCCTTCGACTCTGTGGAGACAGAAGCGGTCATCGAAGCCTTGGGCAACCAGGGCGTCCCTACTCAGTACATCAAGATTCTTCGTGAGCTCTACAGCAACTTTACGACCAGATCTCACCATTCTACAAGGAGGTCATCATCGACGTCAAGAGAGGGGTTCGACAGGGCGACACCATCTCGCCCAAACTCTTCAGCGCCGCTCTCGAGAACGTCATGCGTCAACTGGAATGGGAAGACATGGGAGTGAAGGTCGACGGCCGGCAACTGCACCACCTTCGTGGTGAGCGGCATGAGGGGAGCATCTAAGAACATCGAGAGGAGTAGTGAAGAAGACGAAGAACATCCGGCTCCGTGCCCACCTCTTCGATTCCGCTGTCCTTCCTGCCCTAACCTACGCCTCAGAGACTTGGACTCTGCGCAGGCAGGACGAGCATGCGGTCAGCGTTATCCAACGCGCTGTCGAGAGGACGATGCTAGGAGTAACCCTATACACGCAAGTGCAGAGGGGAATCCGGAGTTCGGAACTACGCCAACGATCGAAGATCAGGGACGCTGCCGTTTTCGCCAAGGAATCGAAGATAAGGTGGGCCGGACACGTCATGCGATTTTGCGATGACCGTTGGACCAGAGATCCCTCGGGACGTCAAACGAACACCTGGACGACCGCCGGCCCGATGGTCAGACTTCTTCACGAAAGCTCTGAACGAAAGGAATGAACGGACTTCGTGTCCCTCGAGCAAGGAGGATCCACTGGACCACTCTAGCACGCGACAGGGACGAATGGAGACGTTGCTGGCGCCCGCTCGAGCAAATCGACGATCGGGACGACAGATGTTCAGGTGATAATCCTTTGAATATGTGTTCAAATTTCACTAGTAGATAAGTTG